ACCCTTGCCTTCTTCTGAATCTTCTTAATCATCTTCTGAATCTTCGGAATCTTCTGAATCATCTTCTGCATCTTCTGAATCATCTTCTGAATCTTCATCATCTTCTTCTTCTTCTTCTTCTTCTTCTTCTTCTTCTTCTGAATCTTCTTTTTCTTCTTCTTCTGAATCTTCTTTTTCTGAATCTTCTGAATCTTCTGAATCTTCTTTCTGAATCTTCTTTATCTTGAATCTTCTTCATCGTCTTCATCTTCATCTTCATCTTCAAAATCTTCAAAATCTTCAAAGTCTTATAAAATCTTCAAAATCTTCTGAACCTTCTTCATCTTCAGAATCTTTTGAATCTTTTGAATCTTCAGAATCTTTTGAGTCTTCTGAATGTGAATCTTTTGAATCTTTTGAATCTTCTGAATCTGAATCTTCTAAAGCTTCTTCTGAGTTTGCTTTTGAATCTTCTGAATCTTCTTCTTCCGAATCTTCTGAATTTTCTTCTTCTGAATTTTCTTCTTCTGAATCTTCTGAATCTTCTTCCTCTGAATCTTCTGATTTCTTCTTCTGAATGTTCTTAATCTTCTTCTTCTTCTTCTTCTTCTGAGTCTTCTGAATCTTCTGAATCTTCTCAATCTTGTCAATCTTCTCAATCTTCTTCTTCTGAATCTTCTGAATTGTAAGGAAGATGAGCGATAGCGAACTTCAGAAATCAAACAGCATCATACACATAAGACCAGATAGTCGGGACCTCGAACCAAAAGCAGAATTGCATCACGAGTTTCACCAAATAAGAGTACAGCAAAAGCTCACAATTGACAATGCTGGAATAGTCTCATCATCATCAACGAAGAACCAATGTCGATATCCTATCTGGCGCTCGACGCCCAGACCACAGATGACATATCCTATCTAGCCTAATCTACAATGCCGCCAATGACGTCAACAGCTCCCCGAAGTACGAGCAGATCCCGGCCAATGCTGCACGCTTCAAGCACCAGGTATGTCTCTCGTATCACTCACAACCTCGTTCCCCAACTCACAGATGCCACATGCACCCAAGGACCACCATGCGCCCCATCCAGCATACAGCAGCGCAGCTCGGCTATGGCTGCCTGCTCCTTCCAGCTCGCCCGTGAGCGTGTGAGCCTGGCCAGTGTTAGCGCAGCAGCGCTTGTGCAGCATGCAGCCAGTGCCCGAATACTGATTGCGTGGGCAGGCCCTTTCCGAAATGGAAGTGGCCTGCCTGCCTCGCTTGCAACCTGGCTGCGCTGGGTCCCTGTCCAGTAGCTTCCGGTAGGCGCAGGGAGGCTGAGCCTCAGTCCAAACAAATCAGGCCCAGGGCCACCGACAGACCTGTGCCCAACTGCTCGCTGTCTGAGTTGGGCCTATGCTGCGTATCTCGCCCAGGGCCTGACTTAGATACATTTGATAAAGGAGGCCAGGGCCTGGGCGCCTTCAACCAACTGGGGCTGCGCAACTGCCTGAATTTTCCCCGGTTGCGAAGTAGTCCAAAATAGGCATCTCGTCGTCTGTCGAGCCAGCCTTCACTTAGGGCGGCCAACCTGTTGCAAATAGGGGCCCGAAAGGGATTATCGAGGCCTTGTGCCTCACATTCCCCTCTCCATACTTCGCTAGTCCTCTGAGAAGTTCAGTCAATCTGGCGCTTTCCTTTCTGCAGTAACTTCTTGTAGTGGGCGACAACCTGTGGAGCGGTCTGCATCAATTCTTCCCGTGTAAACCATCTGTCCTCCTTAGGATCAGTGTGATACCTGAACCGAACGCGATACTGCAGCTTTGGTTTCGGAGGGCGTCCCCTGCCGGTCGGTCTTGGAACTGGCATATCTCTGTGATCCACGATTTCATCAATATCGACCTCTCCAAGCCTGAAAAACAGGGTAAGTGCGAAGGTGTCCAGGGATCCGAATAACGTATGAAGGTCCGTCTGGTCCATCCCCAACTAACCTCCCATGGTCCAAAGTACTGTGGCATGAGCTTACGGGAAATCTCGTGCTCCTGTCCCAGTTCAGAAGCCTTAACCCAGACCCTAGAGGGGCGGCGGTGCTTGTTCTCAGATTCGATCATCGCCGCCTGTGCTTTGTGCATGTGTTCTACTGCCCGCTGCATATGATTCTCATATCTATGGGCGAATTCCGAAGTGCTTGGAGCAGCAGTAGGCTGGTTCTCAGGTAGCAGAAATCAAGGGGAAGTCTGGGTTTGAATGTTAGAAGTAGGCTGTTAGGACTTACTCCAGTGGCACTATGAACTGCGTTGTTGTACAAACTGGCGATGAGAGCAAGCTTCTCATCCCAGTCCACTTGATTAGGCTTAATGTAGTGCCTTAGCAAGTGTTGAACAGCGCGGTTCATYTKCTCTGCCTRTCCATTTGCCTYYGGATGRTTTCYAGATGTCATMTGCAGCTGCGTTCCTTGTTCGACAGCTGCGGCCTTCCACAGTTCACTGGTGAATCAGACATCCCTGACGCTGATTATAGACTTCGGCAGGCCAAAGTCTCTGACCCAGTTTTCCTTAAATAGGTTGATCACGTACTCGGTCTTTGTTGTTTCCGACATGGCCACTAATCTAGCGTACTTACTAAATCTGTCCACGATGAAGTAGATGTACCTCATGCCACTCTTGTTGGTGACCAGCGTATCCATGAAGTCCATGGACAGGCTTTCACCAGGTCTCCAGGTCTTTTCGGAATGGGAAGGGGCTTGAGCAGCCCAAGAGGAGCCTGTGTCCATGGCTTGTCACGTTGACAAACTTGACAAGTCTCGACATACAGTTTGGCATCTCTCATCATCGTGGGCCACCAGAAACTCTGCAACAGATTGGCTGCAGTCTTCTTGAAACCAAAATGTCCAATGGCATCGTGACTCTTGCCTAAAAATAAACTACGCAAAGACTCTCTATTAGGAACACACAAACGTTTGTTCCCGGCCTTCTCAAGGAACCGCAAGTCGTTGACCAACTCAATCTCGGCAGAAGTCACCTTGTCCTTCGCCTCGAGTCTGCGTATGATTTCAGACATTAATTGGTCCTCGCGATAGGCTTCCACCAAAGAGCGAGTGACATCGTCCGCAAGCCCGAACTCAGTGATCAGCGCACCAGAGAAGTTTGGCCCACGCGACAACGCATCAGCAACCTTGTTGTACTCACCTTTGATGTATTGGGGCTCGAAGTCATACTGCTCAACGACTTCGATATAGTGTTTTAGCACATCGGAGAGCACAGGCTGGGTCCTCATCCACTTCAGGGTCTGATGACCAGTCCTGGCGTCGAAGAACCTCCCAAGGAGAGCGCCTTGTAGATCGCATAGAGCTCCTTCTCATAGGTGGACTTAACCAACTTCTGAGAGGGCATCTTTTTGGACATGTACTCTACTGGCCTCAACTTTGGCCCCTCCTGCTGCTCTAGCACGGCACCAATGCCATATGGGCTGGCCTCCGTGGTTACTATGAATGGCTTGTCAGGATCAGGAAGTTTCAAGACCTCATGATGTGTCAACGCATGATTCAGATGTCTGAAAGCAGCCTTGCACCTGTCTGTCGACTCCCATGGGGTGTCAAGGCGAGTCAGGTCAGTCAAAGGGGCAGCCACTATGCTATAGTTCTTAACAAAGTTACGGTAGTAGTCGGTCATCCCAAAGAAAGACCTCATCTCACTCACAGACTGAGGACGCGGCCAATCACGAATGTTGGCCACCTTCGCGTCATCGGGCTTCAAATCCTCCGCAGAAATCTCATGACCCAAGTACAAGATCCGGGTGCGACCAAACTCGCATTTTCCCCCGTTGATCTTGAACTTGTGCTGCGGAAGGAGACTGAGGACTTTGTCTAAGTGCGCAGCGTGCTCCTCGATAGTCCTACTAAAAATAAGTATGTCATCGAGGTACACGATGATAGACTTATCCAAGTGGTCATGAAAAATCCGATTCATAGCGTGCTGAAAGGTGCGAGGAGCATTGCAAAGGCCTAAAGGTATCACAACAAACAGGTACAGACCGTACCTGGTCTGAAAAGCGGTTTTGTGCTGATCCTCGGGCCGCATTACAATCAGATGGTACCGGGACTTCATATCTATCTTGTTGAAGTATCGACACCCTTGCACTCTATCTAGCAAATCGTCGATGCGCGGTAGGGGCTCTCGATTCTTGACAGTGATGGCATGGAGGCCCCTATAGTCAATGCACATCCTCAGCGTACCCCCCTTCTTTGGCACAAATAAAACTGGTGATCCGTAAGGGGAGACACTTTGCCGGATCCAACCCTTCTTTATGAATTCCTTGAGCTGTCGGCGAAGCTCGTCAAGCTCGTCTGGAGACATCCAATAGATCCTACCCTTCGGGATGCTAGACCATGGGATAATCTCTATCGCGTGGACGACCTCCCTCTCGACAACCCCTGTTGGCTCTTCAAATAGATCAGAGTACTTGGCAACTACTCCCTCTATCTCCGGCGCCATTTTCACTGGCTCGCCTGTTGCAGAGACAAACTAGATACATACCCTCCACCGGATTTTGCTTATAATAATTATAGAACGTAGCCGCACACATCCATCCATAGGACTCGATCAGTCTACTAGCTTTGACCTTAAGTAATCTGGCGGTCCCTCCACCTGGCAAAATGCGCTTGACCACTTTTCAGTCCCCGTCAAACTAGGGCTGTGCCACGGAGAGGTAGTACATACCTAACAAGATATCCATAGGGAGATCATCGCTCACTAGGAACGAGACGCGATGTCTCAGTTCCCCTCCCACGTACGGGAAAAGACACTCAATGTCCTGAAGGTAGCCATTGACTACCATGCGTTGTTTGTTGGCACAGGTCGACTCCACAGGTCGACTTAGGCCCTGCACTTGCCCTTGTAAGCGCAGCCTCTCAACGCACGCGCGACTAATGAAGTTCCTAGTCGAGCAAGTGTCATAATAGGCCCCGGCCTTGCGGCCGCCGATGACTACCTCGCTGACGAACATCTCACCCTTAGGGGCTTTTGCCAATATCGTCCAAGAAGCTAGCGGGTCTGATCTAGACCACTCCTCCTCTAGCTCCTCTAAGGACTGAAACACATTCATCGAGCAGAGGCTCGATGGGTCTGAATGTGTTTGCGGGACGACAATGGAGTCAGTAGCTTGGGCCATCTCTCGAGATGGTGAGGGTGGCCCGACGTGTTTCCTGGAGCGGTGCCATAACTGCTGGCCACATTGCTACCAACGGGAGCGGAGGATCCCAACGCCTGCCCCATCGTAGGTGGAATCTTCTCGGTCACCTTCTTATTGCGGCACTTGAATTGGTTATGGCCATATTGACCACAACGAATGCAGGCCTGCCTGGTGTACCTGTCTCTCCACATGTCCTTTGTGAGACTCGCTTTCCCCCATGGAGGAGCATTGGGGTCGACTTGACTCCTAGACCGGGAACCTCCTCGACGTCTATCGACCGCCTTACCTTTCTGAGCTACAGCAGCGACTACTCCACCCCTTGAAGCTTCTGCGCTGCTTGCCTTTGAACCCACTCCCGCCTGGAAGTCGTCGTCCAACTCGATGGTAGAACCATCGTTGTCGATGAACATGATGTGTCCCTTCGCTTTCCTGTTGGGAGGCAGTGACTTTATCCTACCATCCGTCGTGGGTGTCTGACCATGCCCTATCTTTGCTTCCAGGTCTAGGGCCTTCTTGTTAAACAAGGGAAAGTTGTGCATGTTGATGTTGGCCTCACCTGCCAAAGCATCTCAGGTAGGAGGTGAGTAGAACCTGGGGGTCATAGCGCACCCCAGGGACACAGATCAAACGCTTTACTGCGTTTGTGGTCTCTCTTACTGACTTAAATTGCCTAGTATGCAGACTCAGGATCGCATCTGTGCCTTTTGGGCTTCTTGAGGATCATGCCACTGTCTTCTACCAACTTGAGGAAGTCATCCAGTTTCTGGGTGACCGCCGCGGAAGTCATGACCGTATCCTTGCAGTTGCACTAAACCACTCAACCATCTTGTTGCACTCCCCTCTAGATAGGAGGCAGCCACAAGCACTTCCTCGTGCAGCATGGTAAGTTTACACTTAACATAGACTGGCACTGCCCTCAACCATGTGTCGAGGTCTTGGCCCCTGTTGTCCCCTGTAAAGGGTTTTGGAGCGGCGATGGCCTCTGTGGAACCATTCCGGCCTGTGGACCCTGAGGCGCAGGCTGCTGCACTATCTGCTGCTGGGGCTGTGTACCCTGTGGCTGTGCAGGCTGCAAGACAACAGGCTGCCCGCTTACGGCAACCTGCGACGGAGGTTGGGAGCACATTGTCTGTACGGGAACCTGTACACTAGGACCTGCTGAGAACCCTCCTGCTAATGGCATACCTAGGGAAGCGGCTTGACTGATGTTGGGGCTACATATGGGGATATCCCAGTCACCGGTGGGACAAAAGGAGGAGGTTGTACAACGGGCCAGGCACCGGGCCCGGACAGTGATGGTGCTGACTGCGCTCGCCCGACCAGTACGACCAGACTTTGCTGAATGTCCTGAAGGAGAGTCGTCTGGTGGTCCTGCATTTCTACTACATCTAGCAGGACGGGCCGTAAGCTCCTCACATCATCACTCATGTTCGTCATGTCCATCTCCTCTAACTCACTAACGTCTACTTGCCTCCGCTGCATCCTGGCTCTTCTTCTAATCATCTTCTCTTTTTCTGCCTGAATCTCTCCTAATGCCTGTTGTAGCTGTGCCTCGGGAATAGCTGCTCGTTGTATGGCAACCTCCTCGGGGGTCAACACTATTGGCTGGCTTGCCATAACGCGAGTGGACTGACTCAGGGTCTGCGTGACCGTTGACCCTACGGATCCTGAACTGCTAGCCTGGGAACTCTGCTGCGCAGCTTCACTTGCGAATGTTTTGGCCTCTGCTGCCTAGCTCTCCGCTGCTGTTGCTGCCTCTGCCTAAGTTGACTGAACAGTAACCTGTCGCACTCTGGTCCTAAGACCAAGTGGGCTATCGGGCGCCTTGCCGATCGCAAAAGCCTGTCGTCCGGTTGTGGAACCTCCCTGTCGCTCATAAGCTACAGAACTGCCCACCGTCTGCACTAGGACACTCATTCGATGCCTACAGCAGCATCATGCACAGAGCGATTTAAAATAAATAAAATAATTAATCGGTGGCTAGGTCTACACATTCCGGTTCAACAGGTAAGTTCAGATTCCTACAAACGAAACTACTTCGACTTTGACTAGTTCGCAAACAGAAAGCACAATGAACAGAAAACAGTTCTAACTACTTTGACTTTGACTCATTCTATGCTGTTTGTCAGATGTTAATGGCTGTACATCTAACTAATTAAAATAAACATAGAATCATTTGTTGGGTCTGTTTGCAGAATGGGATCTTGCCTGAACTTATCACCCTGCGTGAACTTGTCACCTTGCCTGAACTTATCTCCTTGAATCTACCCCTCCCTCAGTTCTTCTTGAATATCTCTTGTTGTCAACGTCCCTGAGCGATCTGGACAGCGTGTGTGTCTAAAGGTGTGCACACGGCCCGCCCCTGTGCCCCGAGCCCCGCTGAGCTGGCCAGCCCTGCACAGACTTTATCCTCGCGTGCATCGAGCCTTACACCGACCGATTGGATGATCAGGAGGCGTTTATATGGACGGCCCCCGAAGTCCTCAGGAATTCTTTAACGTCGCAGACAGGACGACGATCACAGCCAATGGAAGGTCCCCGCCGGTACTTGTTTATAGACGTCTGGTCTCGTCTTTCCCATAGGGCTGGCCTGCCCTCTTGAACCCCTCTACAGCGCAGCGAGCAGACAAAGGACAAAGCAGCAAAGCATGCGTGCTCTCCCGGTGGGTTGGCATGGTGACCGTGACCCGAGTGCTTCGTCCAGGGCCCTTCAGATAGCGCCGCCCTCTTCTTCCAGATGCTCCACGTGAAGACTGACGACTCTCAAGGTTGAGCGCACACGACTCCTCACATGAGAGGACTCTCAAGACAGAACACACATCCTCACTGGCAGGGGACGACCTCCGAAGCCGAAATTGCAGTACCGTGCG